AAGGACTTGATGAAGGTCCACAGCAGGGTCCGGATGCCCTCGCCACGGCTCAGCAGCTTGACCAGGCGCATGACCCGGAAGAGGCGGAAGAAGGTGATGGAGATTCGAGAGTTCTCCTCCGCGTTCTGGCATCCGTTGGCAATAGGAGGTGGAAGTTAACACAACAACACAAGGGGAGGGGGCAACACTGGGTGGGCCTTGTTCTGAGAAACACAGCCCTTGGTTGGGGAGGGGGCAGGTTAGGGTGGAGGTAAGCTGCACGGGGACCCCTTTCCTTAGCCCAGCTATGTGTGTGTGTGTGTTTGGGGTGTGTGTGTGTGTGGGAGGCCGGCTGCCCTTTCTTTCTGGGCTCAAAAACAACCACCACCCAGCCCGGGATCTCTGTAGAGCCAGGCTGTGCCCAGGCCCCGAAGCCCATGGCCCTGCCTTCCTCTTCTCCCCTCTTCCTCTTTATTCTGAGTTTGGAACACCCTGGGTGGAACTCTAGACGGTTCCAAAGGGATTCGGCAGGTTTTGAAATCTAGGCCCAGCCGGCTGCTCTTGGTGTAAGCAAGCCGCCCCATGCTGAGAAGTCCCTCTCCTGCCCAGGGTCACTGTGGTCCCTGGTCCGAGTGGCTCTGGCTCCTGTAAGGATTGGGGGAGTAGGTGGATCCTCAACTGCCTGAGGGATGACACCCCTGGGGGTCCTGGCAGACCGGCGGGCCAAGAGACCACAGGAGCCACGTCTTGCACTGGGTGTTCCAGCTCTGGTGGTTCTCTCAGGACCCTCTGCCCAGCCCCCAAACTGGTCTGGGGAGAAGGAGCTGGGGGTGGGGGTGTTGCAAAGTACCCCAGGAGGGGGGGGTAGCAGTCTGGTTTTCAGCCTTTGCATGCAGTGGCTTGAGGTCCCCCAGCCATGGCCAGGTTGCCTGAGACTCTGGGGCAGAGGGCCAGCCTGTGTATGAGACAGGGACATTCTCTCGGGCAAACCCCAGCCCTGGGATGTGAGGACCCAAGGGATCCTGCTCAGGGCCCACCATCGTCCTTGATGCAAGCCTGGACGGGAAGGGGAAGAGGTGATCGCAGCTATGACCCTGAGGCTGGCTGAAGACTCCGGGGCCCTGGGACTTCCCTGGCCTGGACTCAGGTCAGGCTGCCCTTCTTGTCTTCTGCCTCCCCCCTGCCACTCCCAGCTGGATGGGTGATGCCCCCTCCCCCAGAACTAGTGCAGCCCCTCCCACTGTGAGCACCGGAGAGAATGGACCCTTGGAGTTTCCTGTTACTGGCCCCATTCAAGAAGCCCCCCTCGGGCAGGAGGGGGTCAGGTGTCACTGGGATGTCCCCGCCTCCAACTCGCTTCCCTTTCCCTCCTGATTCACTCATTCTTTCCGGGTCAAAGTCTCCTTGACAAGACCCGAGTCTTGTTGGCCTCCTTGGAGGTGCCGTGAGCACCACTGCTCCTACTTGAACCCCCAAGCCCTGGTCGTCCCTTCTCAGTAAGTGGCCCCGGGGGCAGGAAATGCCCAGGCAGCCCCTACACCCCAGCAGGCCCACCTTCGCCCTGGAGGCTGCCCAAATATCAGACCGAAGGGGGTCTGCAGACTTCAGATGGTCTAGGCAGAAGAGTCCAAATATTTTCTTCTGGTTTGACCCCAGGGTCCCCACAGCTGCCCAGGGAGCCCCAACTCCCTGCCAGGCAGAGGACTGCTGAGTGAGTCCTGGGGCCTGCCCAGAGCAGTGCTACAGGGCCAGCAGGGAGCTGCAGGCAGCCATCCTGGCCCGGCCCCGGGCCCCCTGTGGATGGGGTGTTTTAAAGCCTTTGATGCCTTAATCCCTGCATGTCTAGCACCTGTGCAGCTTCTTGAAATTCTATTTTCTCTCCTTAAAAGGAGGCTGCGTTTCCCCAGAGGAGTCTGCAGCGGTGGCTCCG